AGGTAAAAAATTAAATGGTTAGCCCAGCTGCAAGTGGTGATAAAGGGATTTATCCTTAATGAAACAAGTAGGAATTATATAGCTTTATTTATCATAGATATTACTTTTAGTGTCTTCTTTCAACTTCTCCTTAATTCTTCTCTAGTTAGAAATAAAGCTATTTGATTACTAGTGAAAATGCATACTACTGGTCAAACAAAAGAATTCCTTTGTTCTGTAGATTAGCCTTTATACCTAATATACAGTAGTTAGGAACAAGCTATAGCAAATGTCATTATTTGGAGCAATTCTGATAAGTGTTGGATGTAATTGACAACTGATACATTATAATATAGTTCTAGATAGTAATGTTTAAAGATATATGTAAACATTATTATGAGAAATAAACATTCAGCCTGACAATTATCACTGGTGCACTTTAAAAAAAAAATAAATTAAATTAAATAATTTAAAATTAATAATAAGATTTTTATTTTTAAAAAATCCTGCCTAATGTATAGATTCACTTATTGAATAGTAATAAATAGTTTAAAACTGATATAACTAAATAAAACTATAAAGAAAGTGAATTAACTTAAATAAACTCAATAAAACCAGTATATATCAACATCTTTCTTCTCTTATAAAAAATTTTTTTAAAAAACATAAACATAATAGAATTTTTTTGCAACACATTATACATGTATTAAAATAATTTTAATTTGCATCTTATTTCTAACATATTTAAGAATAATAATAAACTGTAATAAAATTCCATTTAATAAAAATTTTTAACTAAATTATCTAAATAATTATATTAATTATTTAAATTTTCAATTTACGGTTGACATATTATTTAATATTTTTTATATCAACCTAATGTACTATTTAAAAATTTGACTCTTCAACGATGCAGAATTATGCATTATAAATAAATACCTTTTATACCAACATAAACCTGATAAGGATCGCGCCGTTAGTACAGTGGTAGAATTGAAGCTTCCCAAGCTTTAGCCCCGGGTTCGATTCCCGGACGGCGCATTATCATTAAACACAATAGAGAGTATTTCACTTTTTCGTGGAAATATTATTCCTTTAAATTTTCGAGCATCGATTAAATAATAATGCGTCAACAATATAGCGACATTTGGTGAGGATGTCAGATATAATCATCTGAGAAACGTAATCTTTTTATATATCTTATAAATTGCCTGGCAGGAGAAAACAAACTGATATGATAAATCTTACAACATGATCTATTACTATCCAGTACAAGCACACCATCGGTTACAAACTAATTAAATTCATCTATGCTCATGTGATTGGAAATAGGAAGAGTAATTTATCAAACCATTAAAGGAATAATAGGCAGGAATTTATATATAAGGAAAAAAACATAAAAAGCATAATAGATTTTTCTTTTGCGTGGGTAGTTTCTTTAAAGAATTAACCATGAGCCAAGGTAATGAAACTATTGCCCGACTCCAAATGCTAAATTTACCGATCCTCAGCCCATTCGTTTTCCTTGCGAATTTGTTCCTCTTCCTCGGGAGTGAAATCATTGACTATGTTGAATGTGGAACGGATTTCCTCGGGAGACTTTCCTTTGATCATGTTGGCAACAGTTTTGCAACCAATGTCCCTATAGATAAAATGGAAGCGAATTTTAACAAACCACAACCAAAAAAAAAACAAGTATACAGTGAGCATTAACGGAGAAATTAGTACAATAATGGTTTAATATCCAAGTAGTTAGCAGCCTAAATAGAAAGTAGACTTTTTAGAAAAAAAAACGCTAAATTCAATAATAAACCTTTTCAAAGTACAGATGATAACAAACCAGAATGATCTCAAAGAGCATGTCCTGTTCAACATTCAGAAATCTTTGGTCCCAATCATCGATTTCAGTGTTCCTCCTGCGGGAATCATCATCATCATTCGTAGGTTGAGGGTCATTGACATGATGCGTACACCATTCAAGAACCTATTATTTACAAGTCGTATGATTAGATTTGCGCATTTTGTTTTTATATCGCATAAATTATTGAATTGAGTTAAAATATGCCTTTTTTAAAACTTTTTCGTTGACGTTAGGAAGGGGAATTGATTGATCAGTCTCTCCGACGTCTTTATGATATATAGAAACGCGTTAGCTTTTTTGATAAAAACGCGAAAAAGATTCAACCCAACTAATATTAACAAGTTTGCGATCACGCGAAAGTAGGGTCACTCTAAGTGTGGAAAAGAAATGTCTGAAGGTACCTTCAATCATGTTCTTAAGCAAGATGGAACGACTAGCGACAGGTATGTCAACTTTAAATTCGACATCGTCGCAGCTTTTCAAGGTAACCTTCTTCTCTTCACCGGCATTTCCACTAGCGCTAGTACTCATTTCTTAAAATAAAACGTTATATATTTGATTTCTTTGGTCTGAATAAGGATTCTACGTTATAATGAAAAAAATAATATAATGGGTTTGGACGTAATAGATGGATTTGTGTGCGTAACCGGTGTAACCTGCATTTTTTATTGAAACGGTGACGGATGTCCGGAACGATTTCTGCCAATAGTCTCGTTCCCCGCAGCAGCAACGCTAGTAATATCAAAGAACATTCATACGACCTATTAATTACTCGAACGAATTTAAAAATTTAACTTTATTCTTTATCCGACCAATTAAATTTATATATTAGTTATTACTTTTTATCGTTTAAGTTAAATATTAAAATTAATATATAATATAAAGCGCTATCGTATTTATATACAAAAACTTCAAGCCAAAAAAGGGTTATTTTAACTTCCACTAGACATATTCTTCTGGAACCTATATAATTAGACAATATATATATATATATATAAAGTGTTGAACTGTTTAAACTAATATAATTCAATCGAAATTGTGCCGTAAACATAGGTTTTATGAATTCGGGGATTTGGCAGGTGGGCGGGGAAACGTATTACGTCTGTCGCCACCACGACCTCCACGTTGTGCGTTCATACCATTATGTGGATTAAAATTACGTTGTTGATAATGGTTATCGTAATTTGATCGGTGCCATGTTCGATTATAATTCTTGAGCCTTTCCTCAACAATAACATCTGTAAAACCGGGAATTTGAATGGTCTTCATTGAGAGTGCTTTTTGATAAGCTTCTTGAGAACTGAATTCCACAAATGCACATGACTATAAATTGTTTAGTAATGAAAAATTAATTCATCGATGCCTTCAAAGAGAAAAAGAGGTAAAAATATAATTACTTTAGTATGCACGAGATCTAATCTTTTCACTTATCCGATGGACTCAAATGCCTCTGCAAGCTTTTCCCGAGTCATCTGAGGTGTAATTCCTTTAATATATAATGATAATTCTACATATAAAAAGTCACAATTGAGTTATTCAATGAAGAAACAACAAATGTTTCGAATATCAAGTGTAACTTGACGTCTTACCTTTGCCTTTCTGATCTCTATCAAGAACCTATTATTTACAAGTCGTGTAATTAAATTTGCACATTTTGTTTTTATATCGCATAAATTATTGATTTAAGTTAAAATATGCCTTTTTTAAAACTTTTTCGTTAACGTTAGGAAGGGGAATTGATTGATCAGTCTCTCCGACGTCTTTATGATATATAGAAACGCGTTAGCTTTTTGATAAAAACGCAAAAAAGATTTAACCAAACTAATATTAACAAGTTTGCGATCACGCGAAAGTAGGGTCACTCTGAGTGGAAAAGAAATGTCTGAAGGTACCTTCAATCATGTTCTTAAGCAAGATGGAACGACTAGTGCCGACATCGTCGCAGCTTTTCAAGGTAACCTTCTTCTCTTCACCGGCATTTCCACTAGCTCTAGTACTCATTTCTTAAAATAAACGTTATATATTTGATTTCCTTGGTCTGAATGAAAAAAATAATATAATAGATGATTTATGCATTTTTATTGAAACAGTGACGGATGTCCGGAACGATTTCTGCCAATAGTCTCGTTCCCCGCAGCAGCAACACCAGTAATATTAAAGAACATTCATACGACCTATTAATTACTCGCATAAATTTGAAAATTTAACTTACTCTTTATCTGGCCAATTAAGTTTATGTATTAGTTGTTACTTTTTATCGTTTAAGTTGAATATTAAAATTAATATAATATAAAGCGCTATCGTATTTATATACAAAAACTTCAAGCCAAAAAAGGGTTATTTTAACTTCCACTAGACATATTCTCCTGGAACCTATATAATTAGACAATATATATATATATATATAAAGTGTTGAACTGTTCAAACTAATATAATTCAATCGAAATTGTGCCGTAAACATAGGTTTTATGAATTCAATTGAATAGAGTTACAATCCTTGTCAAGATGGGGATTTGGCAGGTGGGCGGGGAAACGTATTACGTCTGTCGCCACCACGACCTCCACGTTGTGTGTTCATACCATTATGTGGATTAAAATTACGTTGATAGTGGTTATCGTAATTTGATCGGTGCCGTGGTCGATTATCGTTCTTGTGCCTTTCCTCAACAATAACATTTGCAAAACCGGGAATTTGAATGGTCTTCATTGAGAGTGCTTTTTGATAAGCTTCTTGAGAACTGAATTCCACAAATGCACATGACTATAATTGTTTGGTAATGAAAAATTAATTCATCGATGCCTTCAAAGAGAAAAAGAGGTAAAATATATAATTACTTTAGCATGCACGAGATCTAAACTTTTCACTTGTCCGATGGACTCAAATGCCTCTGCAAGCTTTTCCTGAGTCATCTGAGGTGTAATTCCTTTGATATATAATGATAATTCTACATATAAAAAGTCACAATTGAGTTATTCAATGAAGAAACAACAAATGTTTCGAAATATCAAGTGTAACTTGACGTCTTACCTTTGCCTTTCTGATCTCTATTTGATGATTGAGAATGCGTCCGTGTTAATGTTTGTTGAACAACTCGTCCTTTCTGCTCGGGAATATGTTGGCCCCATTTACTACTATCGCTGGCGGCAACATTGGAATATGATAAATTTGACTGCGCCTGGGTAGGTGATGTTAACTGTGTCGCTGTGTTTGAGATAGTCGAGTTCTTTTCCGTTTGCACAGTGATTGAAGTGCCTTTATCAATTGGAACAGATTCTTTTGTTTCATTATCAGGCGCTGCCTCTTCTACAACAAGACTAGTTGTGTCTTCAGCTGTTGATTTCGCTGAAGGTTGGGATACGTTAGTTCTTGATTGAATTTCTGAAATTATTTCTTGTGTGAGTTCTTCCGCATTAGTACCCGTTGACATAGTAGAAACAGAATCATCGTTAAATTTCTCCTCAGTTATCGTGGATGTAATATCTTCATTATATGCTGGCTCTCGATCTATTGGATGAGACTTGTTGATGTCTTTAGGTTCATCCTTCAAATAACGGAATATATCTCTCAGCACATAATAACCATTTTGCTGTGTATCAAGATTAATGGTTTGGACAAATTTACAAGTTTGACCGTTGTTTGTAAACTGACCAATAACTTGAACTATCACTTTATTGTCAGAAGATTCTAGACTATCAATGTTATTAATGTCTACTTTCGCATCCTTTAGGTGCATTTCGGCTATGTTCTTTTTGATCTCCTAATGTAAATATAAGTTAACGCGTAAGTCGGGTGTGTCATTTTAAACCAATATTTTCATAATTTTTGTCTCGACATTGGTGGCGTCCTATCTGTGGTAAATATGTTTTGCTGGAAGTATTAGATGAATTTCGAGATTGTTACCTGTAAGCCTTGACAAATCTTTTCCTCTTCGCCCTCTAAACCACGAACAAGGCTAGAACGTTCATCGTAAAACTTATGCAAAATCTCTGGATTTTCATGGAAATACTTGTAATAATCTCGGACGAAAGCCCAACCAACCTCGCGTGCAGAGAACGTCTGATTGGTATTGTTTGAGTGTGCTGACATTTTCGTATCGGTGAAAGTCCGAAAACCTCGTTTGCGATTGATTTTTAGTTAATTCAAATTTTAAAAACTTTTGTTGTTAAATCAACTATCGAAAAAGTAAGAATTTGACTTTCGTCGGACAAAGTTTTATCATACTCCAATTTGATTTTGATAAAATAAAACGAGTATATGACGTTTCACTTTCTATAATACGATTGTCATACAATATTCGTAAACTGTCGTGTTACCTAAATATTGAGAGGTTAGTTTGTGTAATGATTCTAATGATCCGATCAGAATTACAATATTTAACCTATAATCAGTTGATATTATAAATATAATTTATAAAACTTGTCTATTAGATTTTAAGCTTTTTAATAATATTAAATTTTTAAATAAAATATTATAACTTAATTTTTTTTTTGATTGGTTAAGAACATTAGATGTAAGGCTTTTATTGATAATATATAATTACTACTATTATATTAAACATTTTTACAAAGTAAACTATTGCTATTCTAAATATAAATTAATGTTATCAAGTAAATATCATTTTCAATACTACTAGTTTTTTCCTTAAATCAATCCAACTATCTTGATTAATTAACTTGCATCACGAAAATAGGTTTACATCCAGTTAGAACTTACATAAAAGAAGAAAATTCTATTACTAGTTTAAATCTATCTTTCTATTGATTCAATTGTATTTTTTAATTACTTACTGAGAAAAGATCATATTATTGTTCAGGAATTTAAAAAAATATCCTATATTCCATATATTTTTTTTCAAAATCTCAAAGAAGATAAATTATCTTTTGTCATTACTTGTAACTTCTAATTATATAAAATACATATTTGAGATATAATTTTTTAAAGTAAATATTAAATTAAAATAGCTTAAGCTAGGATATTTTTATATGATGAAGTCTATTATTACTAGTTTGAATTAAAGTTTGTTAACTTATTACTGAAGTTAGATCAGAAATCTTTTTTTATACAACCTTCTTTGTTTTAACTTGTTTTTAACTCACGATTATCAAAAAGATCAAAAGTTTCATCCTTATGCAGTCTAATTAAATTTGAAAATTAATTTTTGACTAATTAAATACAACATGAATTGAAAACCAATCAATTAATAATAAAGATAATAAATTTTTATAATTAGATAAGTTTAATCTTAAATCTTCTTCTGGTAATTTATAAAGCATTACTATTATATTATAGACCTATAGATCATTTTAATTTTTTTTTTTTTAAAAAAATAATAATATAATATACAGTAGACAACAAAAATATCTGGATTTTTGATTTGTCATGTAAAACATGTTACCATTGTTTTTTTTTTTTATTAAATTTTGATCTAATTTTGTGTGATTGTGTCATGTAAATGTATAAATAAGTTTGTATAAATACAATATTTTTTTTTGCTGTCTAGTTAGCATTATTCATCAAAAATGCTGTACAACACTGATCCCACCATACAAAGAATAATCATAAGCCAGCTTTGATCTAATGATATTACGAAACCTGCAGAAATTTTAAAAATAACTGGTTTTCCTAGATCCATGATATATGATTATGTGAATCGACTTAAAAAAAGGCACACTCACCCTACTTCCTGTTTATGGCAGGCTGAGAGTTCTAGATATTCAAAAATGTTGTTATTTTGTTCAGCTTATAAAAAACAATAATTCTATTACCGCTGTTGAAATAGTTATTAAATTTAATAAAAACTATTCTGACCTAAATATAACTGAGCATATTATTTAGCATACTCTTAAAAATTACTTTCAATATGTTATCTGCTGGCCACAATGAATTCCTCTCCTCCAACCTACCCACATTAACAAGTATTTTGAATAGGTTCAAAATTATACAAATGATAGTTGGTCTATTACTATCTTTTCAGACAAAACAACTCTTCAGATGTTTTGCAATACTCAGCTAGTTCGGCACTGCCACACAGATTCACATTCATGCCATAATATGGTAAAGCATCTGTATAAAATTCATGCTTGGGGAGTGTTTACTACTTGGGGACCAGTTTTGTTATTTCTATTTACTGATAATTTAAAAGCAAAAAAGTATTGTAAAATTCTTGAATCTTGCCTTCTTCCGAATATAGGTCATCAGTGGTGTCTCCAACAAGACAATTCTCCAGTCCATATAACTCAAATCACATGTGATTTTCTTGAGACCCACTATATTAATGTGATTGACTGGCCCTCTAACTCACTGAATCTAAATCCGATTAAGAATCTATAGGCAGTACTAAAAAAAAAAGTCGAAAAAAGTGTTAGAATTTGAATAATGAAAAAAAAAGCTTACCGTTGATGAATTTAAAAAGATTATTAAAAAGGAATAGAAAGGCTTGGATCATGATCTCTTCCTTACATTATCACATAGTATGAAAAATCATATAGATGAGGTAATTTTGCAGGAAGAACAAAAGATAGATTATTGAAATTTTATACATGTTTTTTTGTCATATTTGCGGTTATCCAGGCAAATTTTTATTCAAATAAAATAAAAAAAAATATATTTTTATATGTGATAAAAAAATCTGGATATTTTTGTCACCAATATACAATAGTTTATAAAATAATTAATTATTGAAATAAATATAGTTAATTATAATATTTTTAATAATAATTTTAAAAAAAACTCTTTTTTTATCAAAACATTTTAACTTCAAAAAACTACTATCAACAGGTATAATCTTGCAAGTACATTTATTTCATTAACTTATCAATTCATAGATACTACAAGAAAAAACCAACAACTTGTCCTCTTCTTGCAAGAGGAAAAGACAAAAACCAAACTTCCTGATTCACAGTAAGGTCTCAAAAAGCCAGCATCCCTATCACCACTACAACCAGTTGTGTGCCAGGTTAAACACCTCCTCTAGACACTATAGAAACTCAAGGAAGGCCAGATTTCATCTAATAAATCAGACAACCTTGTCATCTTCCTTGAGCTAGAAGGATACCAGACTCCCCATCAATTATATAGAGATAAAGAAAAATCTTATTGTACATACTTTCAAAACATAAAAACCAAAATTAGCTTACCCTCTCCAAAACCAATGTGTTATAAACATGTAGTCAAAAGGGTATCAACAAGTAAACAACATATACTTATCAGCAAAACGCATCAACACATATCATTATCAAATTATGTCAATTTCAACCATAACAATACTAATGAATAACCATATACTTTATTTACAAACAAACAGTCACATGTAAACAGCCACATGTTTCAAAATTAGTAAACAACACATCAATACCAAATATCTTTGTGACCCAACACGAAACAAACAAACATGATTGAGCAAAATCCAATTACAATATCTGACAACAATCCAAGTTTCCAAACAACTATAACAAATTTGAATAGCAATATACTTCTAGATATTATTCTTGTAGAGAGGACAAGATGTTACATATCAATAATATATCTGAACCAAGAAAAAAATATTATTATCACAGAATCTTCTAGAACTTCAATAATTTCTCTTCTTAACAACTACCCTTCCAAGTGGCTTATCCCCACTACAAATCTTACTAAACCAGAGTCTCCAACCCTCTTAATCTTTTAAATAAAGTTTGCAATGTCAAAGGAAAACAACAGTCTCCATGCGCAAGTATCGACTCTCAAAAAGAAACCCATTTAACTACTGGACGAATTCCTAGACTTTCACAACTCACTTCAAAAAATCTTTATAAAAAACAGTCAACTAAGAAATCTAGTTCTTCAAAAGGTCATGACAAAAGGGTGAAATTACTTCAAGCACATTTTTTGGAATAAGATTCAAGTTAACAAAACTCCAGCCAAAAAGCCCAAAACATTTTTCCTTACAAGAACATATCAACTGGGAAGCACTATCCACTCAGCTGCAGCAAGTGTATCCTTTTTTAGTGAAGCTTCAAAGATATCAAACTCACATACAGAATTGCAAGACAATTCTCTAATCGTCAATACAACCACACAAACAAATACTGTGATTATCCAATCACAATCCAGTTCATATCAAACCAATCTCCAATCAAATTCCTCAGAAACACTCACCAATCACAAACAGTCCCCTATTAAAGAGTTATACAAAGACGACTTATCCATATCTATAGACTTAAACTTTCCTATTCCAGAAGACATAAATATGGAAAATACTGTAGGCTTATACATATTCCAGAAAAAAGAAAACAATCACAACAACCAATTACTAGACACTTCTGTCATGTCACAATCAACTACTATCCCTGGTCAAAACAAATCAAGTTTTATATTTTCATGATTCTTCTTGCCTATTTTCAAAAGTGCCCAATCTTTCAGACAATAACAGGAACAAGAGTGTCCAGCAAAAAGAAGTACCTATAAAGAGAAACTGAATACAGCATACAAGAGACTTTGGGCATATGAAGAAGACCTTATTCTTAAATACTCAGGAATAGAAAATTATAACATAACCATCAATTCCGATGATGATGAAGATAATCTAAACATTCCTGACAATCTTATCACCAAACATTATCGAATTGTTCAGTGGGCTTCCAAACTTACCATAATTAGAAACAATTCAGAGGAACTTATTAAAATTCTATTAGACATCAATCAGCAATCCAAAGATAAGATCAGGCAAAAACCTCACCTAGCTATCTTTGTCAAAATAGAGGCTAGGGACAGAGACTTTTTTAACTTCAGTAAAACATTCGAACTCAGAGAAGACCACCAAAAAGAGTATGAAAAACTAGAAAGTCGATTCTAAAAAATCTACAGAAGCAAGCAAAAAGTCACAGAACTTAATAAAGAAGTCAAATCTAAAATCAAGTTGCTACTTAGCACCAGCTTATTCATCGCCTATCTAAGGTACATTAATATCTTTGACCTTAGCCCTTATCTACTAGCACAAATCATGGAGTATAAGTGCAACTACTTCTGCCAACATAGAGGAGACAACAAGCTAGACTATCATGAATTTCTCTATGAAAGCAAAAAAATGTTTCAGAACAATTTTCCTG